GAAAAATGAATGAACAAAAGAAAGAATGAAATGAAAAATAAAGAAGAATGAAAAAATAAAGAAAAGAAGAATAAACATGAACTTGTCTCATTTTTCTTTTTTCATTTCTCTTCTCAATCAATTTTATATCCTATCAGTCTCTTGTTTTTACAATTTTGATTTTTTCATGTTTTTCTCTTTTCTTTTTTCTTGCTTACCATTAAAATAAAGATTACTCTTTTTCTTTTCTTTTAATCTCTCTTCTTTTTTACCCTCTTTTTAATGACTTGCTTCTACTGCAAACAAATTTCTTCTCTTTATCATTTATTTGACTCTCGTTTCCATTTTAACCCTTTTCCTGTTTTAAAAAGCGCCATCATTTTTTCTGCAAACTAATTTCTCCACTGTGTTCTGCATCTCATCATCAATTTTTATTGATTGTTTTTACTGCTTTGCAATTTCCTTTTTCTTTCTTTCACTTTCTCTTCCATCCTTTTTCATCCTCCTTTTATTTTCCTTTTCAATGATCTCTTCTACTTCTTGTTGAAACATTCTCTTCTCAATATCTTTTTTCACATTTTTCCTGTAATTGCTTTTTGAATCTGGACACTTTCTATTTTTGTCTCCTAATTCTTCTCCTCCTCCCACCTACTCTTTTTTTTTTTATAGTTTTTTATCCTCCTTTTTCTTTTCATTCTTCTCCTGTCATTTCTTGATGACTTCTCTTTTTCCTAAATCTTTTTTTTTCCAATTGTTTTTCTTTCTTCTGTTTTCTCTTCATAGTCTTTAAAAAAAATTAATAAACTCTGACTTTTTCAACTTCTTTTTCATTTCTGCTTAAATTTATTGTTCTGCGTCTTTCCTTTCACAATAATAATTTCTTTACATTGTAAAATCTATTTTTTTGTTCAATGCTTTTTTTTCTCCTTTCTTTTCTCCTTGACTCTCCTTAAGCATCCATTCCTTGACAGTATCTTTGCCACTCCCAACTCTGTTCGCCCATCTACTCCCAATCCACTTCCTTTTTTCATCTCTTCCTCTTCCTATTATTTCATGCTTACCAAATCAAAAAGGGAAGACAATGTCTAATACACATAAGAGAATGCAAAGAGGAGCCAACAGAGATCCCAGGCAAAACAAATGAAAGCATCAAGCAAGCAAATCAATTCACCAAAACCATGGAAATATAGAAGGCAAACTGGAAGGAAATCTAAGGAATTTCAGGAACAATACCAACAGATGGCAACAGGCAGGAAAGAGAAGAAGAAAAATAAAGAATAATAATAAAAAGGACAAAGAAAAATGAAGAATAACCATAATGAAGAATCAACAATAAAGAAGGATAATAAGAAAAATGAATAAGCAAAAGAAAGAATAAAATGAAGAATGAAGAAGAAGAAAAGAAGAAGAAGAAGAATGAGAAAAATGAAGTAGAAGAATGAAAAACAGCAACAATAAAGAAAGAATAAAAAGAATCAAAGAAAAAAAAGCAAGGTAGAAGAACAATAAGAAAAATGAATGAACAAAAGAAAGAATGAAATGAAAAATAAAGAAGAATGAAAAAATAAAGAAAAGTAGAACAAACATGAATCAGAAAACTAGGATTATAAAGACATAAGATGTAAATGCATGACAGTATCACATTGCCAATAGCAGCAAGTTACAAGTTGGCTGACAAGAAATTGAGTTGAGGGTGTTTGCTTGGTTGCTTGCTATAGAGAATAAAAAGGCATAACGAAAGAGATAAATGGTAAAAAATACTGTAAGGCTTAGGGCTTTGATTTTGTAGGGTTTGGTTAAATGAGGGTAGACTAGGATGCAGTTGTAGGGATGATTGTGAGATAATGGAATGTTTTCTCACTTTATCACTTTCTCATTCTCATGTTTGGCAGCAAGAGGCTTAAAGACTGAATATGAAAATGCATCTATTTCATGGTATTTTAACTCGGGCATGATTTTTATACAGATACATATATATATATATATATATATATATATATATATATATATATATATATATATATATATATATATATATAAATAAATGGACATTGAAGTCAACACCCAAACGTGACAGTCTATTCCATGCTAAACACAATCATTTAGCCATGGCCTGACGACTGTGTTTAGCATTAAACAGACTGTTACCTTTGGATAGTTAGTTCAATGTCCACTTTTATACTTACATACACTCTATCCCTGATACTAACTTTAACTCATAAATATAATGTACCTTAAAACTATGTTTTATTATTCATATATATATATATATATATATATATATATATGAATAATAAAACATAGTTGATATATATATATATATATATATATATATATATATATCAACAGAGTTTGATCAGAAAGTATCGGGACTGTTGCTATGGTAACAGAGTGAAAGTACACAGAGTAAAGCCATCTGGTGAAGATTAACTTTGAACTCTGTGGCATATACTCACTAAGTTATAATGTTCTTGTTCACTTCTGTTGTTTATAACAGTGCTTGTAAGGAAAGTGTGCATAGAGTGGTTGTTACATAGAAAATTTTTGAAAAAGGTCATAATAGGTGATAACTCCTGATAGATCCCAAACTCTCTAATGACAAAGAAAGCATGAATGAGCTGAAGCAATATGAAGACACTGTTGATAGTTTTCTTTGATTACAAAGACATTGTACATTATGAGTATCTACCTGGTCATGCAGTAAACAAGGAGTATTACCATGACTTGTTGCAGTGTTTGTGGGATGCTTTTTTGTCAGAAAAGGTTAGAATTGCATGCATCCAGTGAGTGACAACTCCTCCATGACAATGCACCTACCTATTCAGTTCATGCAGCAGGTTTTGGCTGCGAACAACATTTCCCAAGTTCTGACAATGACCATATTCTTCAGATCTTATCACTCTTTCCAAAAATCAAATCCCACTTGAAAAGAATAAGATTTCAAGACATTAAGGAAATGCAAGAGAATATGACAAGGCAGCTGCTTACTATCCCCAAAAAAGAGTTTCAGGAATGCTTCAGAAGGTGACTACTTTGAAGGAGATTAAATGCTGAATGAATATGTGTTGTAGTTTTCTTTTTAAAGCACCAGTCCTAATAATTTTTGATCAAACCTCATGTATATATATGTATATATATATATATATATATATATATATATATATATAACTTTTACTTATATTAATTCTCTCTATCTCTGTCTCTGTCTCTTTCTCTCTCTCTCTCTCTTTTTATATATATATATATATATATATGATTAAAAGTTTGTTACTTAGCTGATTGATGTTACCTTCAGCATCCCGACTCCAGAGTTTTGTAGACAGACCCATCCATACACTCTTCAAGAGGTATTAGCAATTGACTGCTTATATTTCTTGATTTTTCTTTTTAATGCACTTATCATTGGTTTTTTTTCTGCTTTGTGTGTGTGTGTGTGTGCATTTGCATGCGTGCAGCCAAGCGCCCATCTGTGAGGATATATATGTACGTGTAGACTGTCATGATTATTTGTCCATTCTTTCATTTTTTCTCCACTTTACACTTACTCCTTAGCTTTTTTTTTTTTTTTTTTAGAATAAGGAATAAACAGGAAAAATTTTTCCTTATCCCATCATTCAGTCAAATTCCAATCTATATTTGACCCCAATAAATATATAAACCCGTGGTCAAAATCTTAAGACCACATGCAAAAGGGTTAAAAATATAAAATAGTGTTACTTTAATCAAAATATACTTGCAAAACATTTACATTTAATTTGTAAATGTAGTTTATCAACAAACAAGTGAACATTTTAAGCTTTTAACTGATTAATTCAAACAAACATTGAGAAAATGATTTTTTGGTTGGTCCCAAAGATAAGACCATGTGTGAAAAAAACAAATTACTGGACAAAAATTTTAGAACTAGTCAGTGTGCTCATAGCCTCAGGTAAATCAACATCTATGGAGCTCATTTCCGGTATTAAATTTCAGATTTTAAAATGGCTAAGGGTAAATTTTTAGCAAAGTTCAAACAGGGTAGTTGTTGAACTTCAAAAAACATAGTCTTTTGCAATGAGCCATTGCAAATGAAATTGTTTGTAGCAGAACTGTTATTGCTACTTCATTAAAAATCCGGATGCATATGCTGCTAAAAAACCAAGCGGTCACCTCAATAAAATCTCAACATTTCTAGACAGACACATTAGGTGAGAATTTAAGAGAGATTCAAGCCTAACATCAAATCAGATAAAAGTGAATGCAGATGCTGAATGCAGCTCTCAGACAATTCGACAGCATTTAAATAAGAAAGGGTTTCAGAACTAGAAATGACTGCAGAGGCCTCGCCTTCTTCTTTGCCATAAATCCTCCCATTTACAATTTGCTTTTGATTATCAAACTTCAGATGTGGATAAATGGAAGGAAGTGTTGTTTTCAGATGAGAAAAAATTCAATCTTGATGGTCCAGGCAGTTTTCAGTGTTACTAGCAGGCAAAAGATGTCCCAAAAGAAATCTTCTCAACACGACACAGTGGAGGTGGATCAATTATGGTCTGGGGTTTATTTTTGTACAGTGGAACTCTTGAGTTACAGGATGTTCACTTGTTTGTTGATAAACTACATTTTCTAATTAAATGTAAATGTTTCGCAAATATATTATGATTAAAGTAACAGTATTTTATATTTTTTAACCCTTTTTATATGTGGTCTTAAGATTTTGAGCATGTATGTATGTGTGTGTGTGTGTGTGTGTGTGTGTATTATATTATATTATATTTCCATATTTTCCAGTTTTCCTGATTTAGTCTTTTATTTGAGAAGTGAGGGGTTTCCAGCAGTTTTCTTAATACATATATCAGTATTATTATTATTATTATTATTATTATTATTATTATTATTATTATTATTATTTTAATCATGCCTAATAATAATTAGTTTAAAATGATTAGTTAAAAATAAGTCCAAATTCTGTATATCACTAAAAATAAAGTTTCCTTATTTTTACCATCTGTTTGCCTCTAAGTTCTAAAAGTCTTGGATTCTTAGAGGCAGTAGTTTGCAAAACAAGAACCACATAAAATATCTTCCATTAATTTTTCTAAAAGAGGAAAGAAGAAATCTATAGGGAGGAACTCAGATATGTGGAGCCAAGAAGAATATTTCTATGTCAGGGTGCACATTTAGAGAAAAGAGATCAGGCTGTCAGATTATTCAGGATAAGAACATTTATAGAGAATGTTGAAATCACAAAAATAGTGACTAGAGAAAAAATTAATAAGAAAATTTCCTGTCATGTTTTGTTAAATTGTTTTAATTTTGATCCTCATTTAACTGCATCCTGGAATTTATTTCATACTAGATTATCTGTATCCAAGAAATTTGGTTTGTGTGTGTGTATGTATGTGAGGAAGAGAGATATGTAATAGGAAATATTTTGTTTTGGAGGCTGCCTAATTCAGAGAAAGTTCTGAAACATTAGGTAGCTGCTTCAAATATATCTAATTTATAGATTTAAGAATGTAAAAATATTTATATATATATATATATATATGTGTGTGTGTGTGTGTGTGTGTGTGTGTGTGTGTGGTGACCTGCAGTGACCTGATTTAAAATATATATATATCTAATATATATATATATATATATATATATATATATATATTGGTATTAGTAGTAATCCTATAGGTATAAGAAACTACACACGTTAGGAAAACCTTCGGTGTCTTGATTTGCAAATAAACAAGCCAATACCAAAGGGAAAAAAGGTATAAAAAAAAGAAAGAACCAAGAACATGTATGTCAACTGATGCAAGTTCAAAGCCCAAAGAAGAAAACCCCGATACGAGTACATAAAACAACTAAATAAAACCTTGGTAGGTTTGTCTGGCTCTCTAGGTTTAGCTATATCTATCTATCTATCTATCTATATATATATATATATATATATATATATATATATATATATATATATATATGTGTGTGTCAATAAATCTTTCTCCATTTATCTATCTACTTATTGTGACATGACCCTCAGTGTTAACTGTTAAATCAGGTGTATAATAAATATAATAAGAGATGTGCTGTCTTTATGTTTCTTTTTCTCCACCTGGGAGTGACAAATTTTCTAAGCCCTCTTTTCTCATTATATGCCTTAGAAATTTCAACTGTTTCTTTCTGATTTTAAGTATAAGTGTCTTCTTTGTTTCCATTTTCCTAAAAATTTCTTTGGGAAAATGAAATAAAATCAATAAATAAAATAATAAAGAATGAAAAAAAAACTATTTTCTCATGATGCAATTTATAAAGAAACTAGAAAGGGTTTCTGGTCACATGCATGATTTTGTTACAGAATATTTCTCTTTCTACCTTCCAATGACATCATTTGGATGTGTTTTGGCAGCCTTACTCATGAAGTAAATGAATTGGTCATTCCAACTCAGCACAAGGTTGATGTGAGCTCAACCTTTTAAATATTGTTATCCTAACTTACTTCTGAACCAAGAAAGAAAACAACCGAACATATCCAAGAGACATTGAGAGCGTTGTTTCATGACAGTCACCATAAAAAGAAAAAAAACATCTGTAGTAGAAACTCAAGTTTTGTATGCTTCTATCTTCTTTGTCTACATATTGAACATGCACATGCATTTAAAATACACACAGACATGCAACCTATTCAGACTTTGTTGCTCATGCTCTGTCCATGATATTCTTTGTAGAGTGATATTTCTTTTGGCTCAAATCTTCTCTTTTTGGTTGAGGAAATTATCCAGTATTTACTGACATTACTGAGTTCAATTTTAGTAAGTCTGAATAAATTTATCAGCCTTAGTGAGAATGTTTGATGAAATAAAGTCAATTTCAAAGAAAAGGTAGTGGAAGAAAGAATTTTAACTGTAGTGGAGGGAATAAATAAAACTAGTTTTTTGGTTGCGATAGTTGTGCATTTACCAATATAGGTAAAATCTTGAAAGGTAGGTATGCCCCACCTTTTCAAAGACCCTCACCCTCATTTGGCTTCATGTTGTATGAATCTAAGGAGAAATAAATATCAAATATTAGATAAAGAAAAAGCATCTGAAAAGAGATGAGAATTGAGAATTGAATTAATGAAGAGAAATTTTAGAGGAGGAAAGGAGAAGAGGATGAAAAAAGAAATAAAGATAGAAAAAGGGGAAATAAAAAGAAAGAAAAGACGAAAGAAAAGAGTATAAAAAGAAAAAAGCATATAAAAAAGAAAACAAAACTAGACTAATAGGGCATAAGAAGAAAAAAGAGTCTAAAAACAGAAAAATGGGTAAAAGAGAAAATAAAGAAAGAAGCATAGAAAGTAATAAAAAGAAAAAAAATGGAATAAAAGAAAGAAAAAAGAAAGTAATTAAAAAGAAAGACAGAAAAGGGCATAAAAAGAAGGAAAGTGTAAAGAAAAAAGAAAGACAGAAAAACATAAAAAGAAAGAAAAAGTAATCATTCAAAGTAAAGAAAATGACTAAAGGAAAAAGAAAATAACAAAAAGAGAGAGAGAGAGAGAGAGAGAGAATACTGAATAAATGAAAAAGCAAAAACACAGATCACTCTCTGAAAAGGCAGAATTGACAGTGTTCAGCTTGTTAAGTGATTCAGCATTTTTTAATTTTCCATTGTTAGAAAATTAAAAGTAGGAGATAAACAAAACTCCATTAGAAATTTCTACCTTTTAAAGTGAAGAGTTCTCAACTGCCAATATCTGATCACTGATGACTAAACAGATTTGAACAAAAATGATGACCAAGAGATAAGCAACCATAGAAACTGCTATTCTCATGAATAAATGATACTGAGTAATGGAATGAATAAATGAATCATTTGATACTGTTTAAGGGATACAAACTCAAAATCTATTATCTGCATTCTGATACTCTATAAAAGCATTCCAAGTACAAATTCTGCGATCGGTTATTATTAATCTAAATCATTTCATGTATGATATGATATGATATATTCACCTTTTTCTATATGTGTCAAGATGTGGACAATTATGGCTCTCCACAACTTCCTATCTGTTGTACAACTAAGCAATATTTATCTCCTTATTATACTTCCTAGTTCCTGTTCTGCACATCCATTGACACAAGTACATTATGTAGGTTACTTGATGTTTCCCTCTGCCACACTTGCCGTCAATATATACTGTGAGTGTCAAATTCTCCAAACCCAACTTTGTGTCCCAGAAATTTCAACTCTCTCTCTCTCTCTCTGATTTTAAGTATGACTGTCCTTTTTGTTTCCATTTTCATTAAAGCTTTTTTGTTGTTCAAATGTTTTGTCTATAATATTTTCAGTGTCCTTCTGTAAAACTACATATCTGATGCCTGAAGTTTCCTCTTCATCTGTTAGGAAATTGTCCAACATTCACTGACATATAGCAGGATGGATATTATATAGCAGTTCAGCCCTCTTTTGCTTGCTTTTAATGAGATTTTCCTTTTTCTTATTATTTTGGTTGTTGAATATAGTAAAATGAAAATCAATATCCAGTTATATAATAATGCATAAATATGAACAAACAATTTATTTTATTTGGTTAAGCTAGTCTAGACATTCATGAGTCTATCACACCAAACATCATTTTCTTGTATCAAGGTCAGAAGGTCATTCTGTGTCATAACATACCTGGTCAATGTAGGTAGTTGCTGGGAGACCAGCCCATCTTACACCCTGTACAGAGCAGAAGATTACTTGCAAGTTCTTGTTTTGATCACCAACAGTGTCCTGCAGAGTGTATTCTGCATTCAAGCAATATTGTAGAAATATCAGGGATGGGTCCATAGAGCTGTGATTTAGTTGGATTTTGTCTCCAAGAGATGTTACATATAACTCTCAGCATCCAAGTGTAAGTTCCATCAAGCTTAGACTCTAGGGTTTTAGTTAATGTCTAAGCAATGGCACCATACATTAACCCCACCTCTGTAGTGGTGCAAAAAATTTACATTTGAGGTTGTCTGATCAGTAGATCAGATTTTCAGATTACATACATTTTATTCAAGGCAGTCCAGGCTTTAACTATGAGAATTTTCACATCCTTTTCAGTAGAATTTATCTCACTTCCTTGGTAAATATAAGATTTGACGGATTTTATTGATTCACACAAGACAGTTTGCATTGAGCCTTGGCTGGTTGAAATACAAATTCTTATATATATATATATATATATATATATATATATATATATATATATATATATATATATACACACACACACATATATATATATATATATATATATATATATATATATGTGTATATTAATATAAGGTGATAATTTTTAAAATGTGGGTATATGGGAGTGAAAGAGAATGAAAAGACTTTAGTAGAAACCAAAAACCCTGTCCTAAAGAGGGGAACAAAAGATAAACTCTCATCCTGTTCAAAATACCAGGAAGGAATGTGAACCAGAACTGGAGCCAGTAAAAGAACAAAGATTGTAATATCAATGAAAATTCTGAACTTGATCAAAATGGAGGAATGCTTATTGCTAATATTTTCAATGACATAGGGATGAAAAGTCTGTTTGTAATTGGTTAACTGTGAAAACAATTTTAGTAGATTTTTTTTAATAAATATAGCACAAAACTAAATGAAATTTATATATGCATCTGAAGACTTTATAGCTCTTCTGAAAGATTTTGAATGATGCTGGTTAGGTTCTCTAATTAAAAAAAAATCATAACAACTGATTTATTTTTTTTCTTGTGAATTGTCAACCTTAAAATGCATGGACTCATTTTCAGTGGTATGGTCAGAATTTGTTTAATCTCCTTTTACTTGTGGTTGTAGGCTTTCTGTGTAACTGAGCATCTGACCAGTTTAATCCACATATCTGGCTTGAAATCTGGAGTGGTATTAATTCATGTATAACATGTTTTGGTCAAACCACAGACAATGTAATCAAGCTTGAAAGCTTGCCTTGGTCATGGACATGTGGATTCCATCTGAAGAACACTCATATAGAAAACACACTGTCTAGGAATGGCATGTTGCATACATATATATATATATATGTATATAATCATAATAATAAAAAAAATAATTAATGTCTAACAAAACAAATTAACCAGTAAATTATAGAGGTTTAAAGGTGAGCAGGTTTTTGTAAATAAAGTAGTTAATATTAGAAAATAGAACCCTAATAGTTAATAGATAAGTAAAAATTCAAAGAATTTATTTTCCAACTTAAAGTTCTGTAGATGCATAATAATATAGTTTTAAGGGATGCTATATATATTTATGGGGAAAAGTGATCAATGTCGAAGATAGAGCTGAAGATTGCATTCAAGCATGAAACAGACTGTCACCCTCAGTGATGACGTCAGTGTTGACTTATACATATACATATATATATATATATATATATATATATATATATATATATATATATATATTCAAAATGTTGGTTTGAAAAGACTTGCCAAAAGACCTCAAAAAAAGGAAGGTAATATTAATAACAAAAAAAGAAAACCTTACACAAGAAAAAAATCTTAAACTAAGAAAGAAGAAAAGACTAAAAAGCAAATACCTACCTAAGCAGTAAATAACAGTGCTCAATATATATATATATATATATATATATATATATATATATATATGTATATAGTTGTGTCATAGTCTGGGGATGTATTCAACTTTAGAGTAAAGATCTGTAAAAAGTGAAAATACTTTTGATGCACACTAATATCATGCCTGAAAATTAATATGTTAATCTTTCTTTACCAAACTGATATTTAAGATTGTAAATATTGGATAACGCATACACGTGTGTGTGTGTGTGTGTGTGTGTGTGTGTGTGTGTGTGTGTGTGTGTGTGTGTGTGTGTGTGTGTGTGTGTGTGTGTGTGTGTGTTATTGCTATAAGTATTTATAACTTACTGCAACCTCTAATGCCTGTGACATGAGATTGAGAAATGATTTAATTTGAGAAGTGAATCACTTCGTTCAAACCTGTCTCAGATGATTTGCATGGGAAAGATAATAACCAAAATGAGAAGCAAAGAAAAGCTAAAAGAGCTGAGATATCTTTTATAAAAGTTGGGAGATGGCAGATGGGACAGTGGCCATTGGATATGGCCTTTTGTGGCAGCTGCATACCAGAAATACAATTAGATGAGGAAGGGAGAGAGAAAGACACACACAAAAAAAAAAAAGGATGCTTTCATGAATAGAAGGAGCAAGAAGGAAAAAAAAAGCAGTAAATGTAAAAAAGAAAGATAAAAGAAAGAAATGAATTAAAAAAAGAAATAAAAAAAAGAAAAGATAAAAACAATGAAACTGAGAGTTATGAAGATAGATATGAAAAAAGAAAGCAAGAGGAGAAGGGGAAAGAAAGGAACTGAATAAACAGAAAAGAAAGAAAGAGGAAAAGGAGAAAAGAAAGAGAAAAGAGAAGGAGAAAAAGAAATAAAGAGGAGAAAACAGAAGGAAAAGGAGCAGGCTAAAAAGACATTGATGAAGAGAAGAAAAAACAGAATTAAAAATAAAAATATAATCAAGAAAAATATGAGAATGAGTAAAAATAATACCTCAAATAATGACTAATTTAAATTCTGAATTGAGTTTTCAATGAATAACATTTAAGTATCTCAATTAAATATCTTGGGATGTGAGGATACAGGGTTTTAGATATATATATATATATATATATATATATATATATATATATATATATATATATATTTGTATATTGTATATCCTTTGCTTTTATATATACTTTTTGTGGAAAACATTTTTGGGTGACATGTTTCATTATTTCAGACTTCATCAGACTAAAGTGATATAACTACACATGCACATGAAAAGGAGGGGATGTTTAAATTTTAATCATTTAAATTATTTTTTTTAAATATGTGTTGATATTCTAATTTAATTTATTTTCTTTTATTTTATGTTTTTATCTTTTGTTATATCCCACATTCTGATAATAGAAGATCTTATCTAGAGATCATTTTTTCTCATATAAATGTTTTATGCACATCCAAATGCATACACTCACAAATGCAGTACATATGCATCCAACTTTATAAGTAATGCATGCATGTCTGCAGACACACATTCATTGTGCTTCTTACAATGAATTATTCCAAGGATTCTATGTGTGGTTGTGCATTATTTAACTGTTTTTTCTGAAGCTGTGTATCTTTTAAGTTACGTATGTATGCTTGTGGGGGTCTGCATGTCAGCTTGGCAGTTATGCAGTTATTATAATATTTATAATGTTATAATTTGAATATAAAGGTGTTCAGCTAACACAGACACACACACATATATCTCAGAGGGTACTAAAGATTTTTATCTTAACCTACTTCTCAAAATCTGACCAGATGACGAAATCAAATATGTAAATATATTCTTGGTCAAGCCGAGAAATTTTAAGCATCTCCTTTTAAAATATCAATATATATATCAGCAGCAGATACTCTGTCTATAGTTCTGATGAGCTATATTCCCTAGTTCTCCCACTTCAGACCTTTACATCTAGAACATGCCATGCCATGTACACAGAAGTGAACCATCCTCATTCCCTTTGCATTACTTTGCCAGAAGAAAGTTTAATTTGGACAGCTTTGTGGAATAGACTCCCAAGAGGATGCATCCCTGACCACTGCAATTTTAACCATTTAATGTCCAGGGTCAACTGTTACCTATCCTCATATTCTACAATTCTTACATCCATAAAATAACACCATTCATTAAACATGCACCTTGAGTGGCTCTTGAACACTGAATTTGGTGAAAAATAGCATAAAAATGCAGTAGCAGCCATTGCTTGTTCACTTTAGGATAAATGCTTTTCTTAAATCCCTCCATGACAACCATGACTGTACTATTTGCTAATGACAAAACATTTCATCTTCTGAATGATCTTTTTCCACTACATTTACTATCCTTCGACATCAGTCAAACAGCATTTCTTACTTTGTGCCCTTCCCAGTTTTCTCATTTAATCACTTTTATAACTGACGCATTCAATGAACCATATTGACCTGTTCCTCTTTTGCATAATTTGGCTCTTTCTTTGTTAATTTTTGACTTTGTTTATAAACAATCTTTTTTAATTTCCATATTTTGTACCCATACATATAAGCTGACATTATACATTTATTATACACTCGATATGTCTTCATATATCAACAAGGTGTTTGTTTATTACATCTCTGTTTTTGTTAAATTCTTTCCAACATCAATTTACTTTATTTAACATGTTATTTCTTTAAAGCTGTTACCTGTCCTAAACATGCATATATTTCTGGACTTGATAATTTTTTTTAATCATTTCACCCCAAGAAAGGACCAATAATTCTTCTTTGGATTTTATCAAATTATCTAAATATATAGCAGGATCACCAGACCTACAGGGTGCGATTGATAAATTGTCATCTAAATTATGCAAAAATGAAAGTAACACTGACATCTCATTTTAACAGATATATTTATCAAAATTACACAAAAATATTTTGAAATACTAAAGAGGAAATTTATTCAATAAAAAACGATGGCCACCAGACAACTTCTGAATCTCCTGCAACTCTTCTGGACAGTCTCCTTGTTTAAGTTAGTGATCATTGCCTTCACTTCAAGGGGGGGTTGCAGTTTGGGAGGGCTGTGTTTCCAGATGTAAGGGACAATGGGGATGCAGAAATTGTCTGACAGCCATGACTGGGTTCTCCTCCTCAAGGCATTTGATGTACATCTTCATGTTGAGCCTGAGGCCCTGTGGGAAGATGGAAGAGGCATAATCTTGCCATCACTAGGGATCATTCCAAACATACTGTAATCACCATTAGACTAATCCAACACTTTCCAAATTCTACCAAACACTTTGAAATGTTCGTATTGGAGTTTCCAGCATGAATGTCAAGTAGTTGAGCATGCTGTTTCCAAATTTCTGGCAAAGTGAATTGTATCATGGTGAACTTTTTCTCACAGACAGTGCCCAACTGACCTTACTATACTGTGTAGTTGACAAAATAAAAAAACAAACAACATGTGTGAAATTAAAAATCAAAAATCACCTAAACCCCTCAACATTTCGTTGTCCAACATCCGTGGCATTAGAACAAATTTCTGCAGTATGGAATCCTTCTTCACTGCAAACTGCCCGGATATACTGGCTCTGTGTGAGACCAACCTTGTCTTGTCTGTTCCCTTCTCTGATTTCTCGAACCCTGGCTACCTTCCTCTCCTCAGGAAAGACTCTCTAACCCACATGCACGGCCTTGGTGTCTACATCAAGGATCATCTCCCTCTGGCCAGAGAGTTGTCTCTTGAATTGCCAGACCATTCATACATGTGTCGCTGACTATCTCTCCTCAATGCCGTAAGCTATCTCTTCTTCCTCTATCCCTCTCCATCCTCTCAAGACTGTGGGATACTCGATAGCATATCTGACAGCATAAACAAGGCCCTCTCTCTCCACCCGTTTGGTCACATATTCATGTTTGGTGACTTTAACGCCCATCATACCAAGTGGCTCGAGAATGCTACTACTGACCGGGCAAGCATTCAAATACGTGGCAGAAATATTCAATGCAAAGCTGAATGATAGAATTATAAATATGTAAGATAGAAACCAACTTTCCTAGCAATTGATTAATATTTCCACTTCATGCCAGCAGAAAACGTTAGTTGGAGAAGACACAATGAATTACTCTCCTGGATGTTAGCATCAGCCATGCTGATGGAAGGTTAAAAAGGCTTCTCTCACATGATTAAAAGAGAGCAGTTTCATTTTGGAAAATTTGTGTATGTTTGACAGTATTCTGACAGATCAAATGTGATAAAGATTTTGTTATTATATTGTCCTAAACATGAACATATCTGTGAACTACTTCCAATTCTTCATCATCTATTGTTAGAATATTTTTCAAAATGTTACAATTAAAAATTGCTTTATTTCTGTTAAGTTTTAAACTTACATTGAGAATTTCAAAAATGTTAAAATTAAAAATTGCTTTATTTCTGTTAAGTTTTAAACTTACATTGAGAATTTCATCTACGGAATACACACACACACACACACATATATGTATATATATGAAATAAAGTGAAAAAAGCTATAAATGCTGTGTTTCGCTGAGAATGTCTCTTGCTTTTGGCTTCTTCAGCTTAGAATGTAAGAGAAAACTATGTATAAAGAAAATGCATTGGGATCTCTGATTTGCCTTGGTTTGTTTTCTTTTATGGCATATCAACAACCTCAATGGGTTATTTAATGCCAACAAGATTTTTTATTCCTGGTAATATTTTCTTTTTCCAGAAATATATTACGGTAATAATTTTTTTTTCCAGAAATATATTGCCGGTAATAATCTTTTTTTCAGAAATGTATTGCTGGTAATATTTTTTTCCAGAAATGTATTGCTGGTAATAATCTTTTTTTCAGAAATGTATTGCTGGTAATATTTTTTTCCAGAAATATATTGCCGGTAATAATCTTTTTTTTCAGAAATATATTGCTGGTAATTTTTTTTTCCAGAAATATATTGCCGGTAATAATCTTTTTTTCAGAAATGTATTTCTGGTAATATTTTTTTCCAGAAATGTATTGCTCATATTAAAACCTATCTTTATACTTTCATAGTACTTTGACCTGAGCCAGAGTGGACCTGTGAAGATCAGCAATTATGGTGAATGCCTCAACAATGAATACAGAAGGATTTGTGAGAAAAGGATTGCCTGGTACCAACTGGTTCATTAGTTCAGTCTCCTTTATGTTGATAGTGAGTTCAAATACTTTTGCTGTTTCAGAGAATTTATCAAGGATAGTTTGAATGTCTTCTAGATTGTGTGCTAATAGGCCAGCAGCATCTGCAAAGAGAAGATCATGTACCAGCTGCAAACCAAGTTTCGATTGTGTGTTAAAGCATTGCTGATTTAATATATATATATATATAGTAATGTTTTAATATATATACATATATATATATATATATATATATATATATATATATATATATATATATATATATATATATATATATCTGATATGTGCATTCTAATAATTTATTTTCTCCCACTAATTTGTTTAGAAATTATATTAATCTTTTTTTTATTTTAATCCTTTAGTCATGGTTTTCTTTAAAAGTTCTCTATCTGCTAATTGCCTAGATTTTAATCATGGGGTAAATTTACTATTTTCCTTTTTCTTGTGGGAAAAGAATCCGTTTCCTTTCCTTGCACACCAGTAATATCAAATTACAAGTCCGGACTTAAAAACTTGCAATTGTCCATCAAGTGGTTAGATAAACCTGCTAGAATTGTTAAATTTCAGGCAGATGGAGTTAATAGAGGAGAAATAACCTTAATGCAGTCTACCGTGCAAAGCCATCTGTCTTTTCATCATTGATTTCAAATTCTTCTTACCTTTCTATAGACTGAATTTATGTTCAGTTAAAGCTTCTGTAAAACTCGTCTTCCCTATAACTCTTTCCTCCTCATAATATTCACCACATTTTCTGAAATCTGTTTAGAAATTTTCCCATGATGCTGCTTGATTCTAGGATAAGGAATTATCATTATTTACATGTGAATTATTGTCCTTAGCTTTGTTATTATCACAATTCTTCAGCTACTGTGCCCTCAGGAATTCATCAGGTGATCATCTGGGAAATTTTCCCCAGGAACCTTTATTGTGTCTATGAATATATATATATATATATATATATATATATATATATATATATACACACACACATATGACATGATAAAGAATAGGTAGGAAACAGATCTATTAAAGCTTTGTCAGAGATCAAGATAGGAATGTTAAAAAAATGATAAAAAGCAAAGGCGCAAATTGATGGTGTGTTGTGTTTGCTTATTTCTTATTGGTTACGTGTCACATGTAATGAAGTAACAGATAATATTCAAATAAGTGTGAGAAACTAGGTGGACATTAACATGTATACACACACACACACATATATATATATATATATATATATATATGATTTTCAAAAGTTAAAAGATGTGTGGATATGAAATGATATTTCTTGAATCTAACTGGAGTTGGAGAATTATTTCCATTTTAAGCAAAAAGTGGCTCAGAGTGCTATCTGCTTAAAAGGCAATCTTGTTGGTTGATAATGATCATGTGATCAAGCATAGTAATTTTGTGCCCAAAATTGATGATCATTTTGTTGTCAAAAATTGGGAGTGTTATGTTTAAGTGAGCATGGCTAATGATAACAAAGGGTTAAGTAGTTCAAGTGTCAGGAATTTTATTTTATTGGATCTTATGTGCAATTCCAAAAAGTTTAATGTATAAGAATTTAATTTCTGTGTTGGTGTGTGTGTGTAAAATTGTTAGTCTTTCCAATCAAATATATATACAAAAATGGCACCTAGTTATGCTAATATCTTTATGCACATTCTAGAAAAGAAGATACTAGACAATTCAGAATATAAACCATCACATTACTTTAGATATATTGATGACATTTTCTTACTATGGACTCATGGATCAGAAAAATTAAAAACCTTTTTCACTTTCTGCAACAATTTCCACGATACATTTAAATTTACCATGGAGCACTCATACACATCCATCCCTTTCTTAGACATTATGATAAAATTAAACAAACATACACTTTCTACCAGTCTATACAACAAACCCACAAACCAACATAAATTCCTGCACTTTAACAGCTGTCATCCCTTTAAATTAAAAAAATCTATTGTATACAGCTCATTTCTAAGAATCAAACGCATATGCTCAGACCATTTAGATTTTCTATACAACATTAATAACTTAACAAAACAATTCCTAAAATGTAAATACCCAATAAAAGTAACACTAAATAAAACTATCCTGATAAATCGTAACACACTTCTCACATACAAGAAAAATAAAAACAACAATCGGATTCCCATGGTTTTTAACCACAATCAATATTCCCACACACTTATTCACAATTTAAAAAAGGATTACAAGAACCTCCAGTTAGACAAAAAGATCAAAGACATTTTCGATAAACCACCCATAAAATGCAAAGAAACAATCACCTAACCTATCAGCTATCCTCACCTCTACCAAATATCTAAACAATAGAAACCAATCAGGAAATTACAAATGTAACAAACCTCGTTGCTTAGTTTGCAAACATTTAATAATAGCTAATATATTTTCTGTACCCAAGACCAATATGAAGATACAGCCACCTAACCTCACCTGCGATAGCCATAACGTAATCTATTATTTATTCTGCAACTTATGTCCTAATAGTGGATATATTGGTGAGTCTGGAAATAATTTTAGATTTCGTTTCAATAACCATAAACAAACCATACATCAAAACAACCCTTATTCCCCCATAGCTAAACACTTTAATCAATCAGGACACTCATTAGAAAACTGCAAATGTTTATTGATAGATTCGATTTTAGTTCCACATACACACGCAGAAAAAAATGAAACATATTGATTTTAAAATTAAATACACATAAACTAGGGTTGAATAATGAACTTGGTGTTTTAAATCTTTATAAATATTTCAATAGTTAAGCAATTTTTTTTAGATATAGTTAAAAATTTTTTAAACAACATTTAAAATATTTATGACAGATTTAAGTTAGGAATATCCAAACAGCGACGTTCCATATCACGTGACGTCCGCATCTCGTGAAGGACGCTACTTGCTAACAAACAGTAATTTTAATTTATTTGTAACAAACAGTTATTTCTGATGAAAGATTGAGGACAATTTGAAATATCAAATATATATATAAATAAATAAATACGTTCATAAAATAAAATATTATTATTTTTTTAATTTGCAACTTTTTCTATATATATATATATATATAAAGCCACAGTAATGACAAGTAATTTTCCACTGGTAAAAAAATGGTTGCTGAAGACATTAGGTTTATAATACCCAGAAATTCATACACAGATGTCCTCATGGCACAGTGGATAAAGGTGTTAGTTAGATACAGTGACAGGACCCAAGGAGTTCAATACCTGGTTAAGGCTGTGGTGAACTTGGAGATGGGAATTAACAGGACATAACTGACATCTATTAGACATGGCACATGGAACTAGAACAGTCTACCCCAGCAAGTATAATAAAGAGTTCAGTGCAACATTCCAACCACCTGAAGAAGACCAGAGCATACAATGACCGAAATGTTGTGATAAAAATGTCAACAAAGATGAATAAATTATGTAAATAGTGTACATAATACCTCATCTCAGAAGTATAGACAAATACTGAAGAATTTAATTTGTGTGTGTGTGTGTAAAATTGTTAGTCTTTCCAATCATATATATATATATATATATATATATATATAAAGCCACAATAATGACAAGTAATTTTACATCATGTAAATATTGAAAGTACTTTAGAAATTTATGTGACCTAAATTCATCTTAAGCAAAAATAATAGTAAAGCTCAGCATTTTGTTTCTTTCTGAATTGATTCTGAAATAGATGGCCTATTGAATCTCTCACATATGTAATGTTCCCATAATGCAACTTCAAACATTTTGGTGGGTTTACTTTATTCATGTTTGAAAAAGAATATTATCTGATATCAATGTTCTTTCTTCTTCCTCGATCTTGCTTTATCTCTTCTCCTCCCACCTTCACTCTGTGTGTATATATATATATATATATATATATATATATATATATATATATATATATATATTTTAGTTTAATACTTAATAAAATAGAGACATGTCAAAATATAAAATGCCTTTTTAACATGGATATTATTGCTGATAATCTCTCTCTTTTTCTCACTGTCTCTCTCTCTCTCTCTCTCTCTCACATGATCTACCTACCTATCTATCACTCATCATGTGTTACTCCTTTTATTTTTTATCTGATATTGTTCATCTTTCTATGAAAGTAAGGAACAGTAAGCAGATAGATACAAAATGAATAGAAAGTGCGAGAGAAAGATAGTGACAAAGAAGAAACAGGGGGAGGAGAAAGAGAGATTAAGAGAGGAGAGAGATAGAGAGATAGAGAGAGAAGAGCGCTAGAGACAAAGAGAGATAAAAAGTGAAAGAAAATTAATAGAGAATGAGAAAAGAGAGATAGAAATAGAGATAGAGAGAAAAAGAATAGAAATATAGATAGATAGATAGATAGATAGATAGATAGATAGATAGATAGATAGATAGAAACTGTATGCAAGATTGAATGACGGATAAAATGAATAGCAGAGAGGAAAGATATAGATGGACTAATAAATAGAGAGATAGAAGAGAGTTGGCTAGAGAGATAGAGATAGATAGAAAGATAAATATACAGACACATTAAAAGATAGAGAGAGAGAGATAGGAGGAGGAGGAGGAGGAGGAGGAGGAGAGAGAGAAAATATTCACAAGAATCAGATGCTGACTATAAACTCTAAGGCAAGAATCTTTTTGTTCACTTGGGACAAGCAAAATTTTGGCTCCAGTAGCAACAAGATGGAGAGATGAGTAAGCAGATAAGGGAAGCAACATTACTCACTGCTCTCTCATTTTCACTCTCTCTTTGTTTCTTTATCCCTACGCATTTCTCTGAGATTAATCTCCCCCTCCTTTGATACAGTATTATTCATTCTACACTTGTTTCCTTACCATACGTTAAACACATCATACATACATATAGATCAATATATATTTATCTCAACTTGGCACTTATAACTTATACTCACATACACACTATCTGCATATATAATTTTGTTATAGTGGTGAAGGCTAATTACAGAACTAAGTCCATTTTTTGGAAAAACTGAATACATAGTTTCAACAAGGTCCCCAAATGAGCATTCTCAGGTTTTTAATTCAGAATTTGTCCTTCTCTTTGACTGGTTGCCAACCAAAGCTATAGAGCCCTGTCTGGCCTGCTATTTAAACTATAGCCAGAGGGGGAAGAGATTCACAACTTTAGCAAGGATATTTGTGCTATCCATTACACCACCATGCATCTACAACACACACACACATACACACACACACATATATATATGCATATATATATATATATAGACATGCATATATGCATGAGTGTGCTTTAAATATAGCATATTTAGGCAGAAATCTTTCATTTGAACATGTATTATTAAAGAGCATGTATATGAAATATCTGCTTTTGGCTTTGAATAAGTTGTTTCATGTCGAGTGGAAACTTGCTGAAATTGTAAGCAATGCTCTTAATACTTTCAACCATCAATGGCCATTTTCAAAGAAAGACTTAAAAGTCAAAAGATAGTCAATGGAGCATTTATGTTGTTAATGATCTGGGGTTTTGAACTCAAAATAGGTTCATATGCTATACTTATAGAATAGATTTTAGTATCACATGACAAAAACAACATTACAGTTCAAAGGTGTTTTAAAAAGTGCATGCTGAGATTAAAACCATTTTTATTGGTGTTGTATTGCCATTTGGTCTAAAGAGCCTCAAAAATTTTAATAATTTTTTGCAGTTAGATTGGCAGAGTACCTTTGTATTGTTTACCTGACATTAAAAGAGTTATTTAAGGCCAGAAGAAACAGTGAATCTCACCAAAAATCTCAACAGACATTCTATATCCATTCTATTTTATATATATATATATATATATATATATATATATATGTGTGTGTGTGTGTGTGCGTGTGTGTGTGTGTGTGTATTAATCTTCTATCTCCATTCTTTAAGCCCATCATTGATACACATATATATCACATATATATTATAAGTTATATATAATAATGTTCAAAACTTTTGAAAACTTGCCCAAATTTTGTAATTTTTCAATCACTCATCAGGACTCTTAACCAGAATTGATTTCATTGGTCACAGAAAATTTTAACATTTGTTAACATTTTGCAGCTTCCTGTGAACATTTTCAAACCATAACTGAAAGCTCTAAGGCAACCTTTCAAAAAAATAAAATATAAAAATTTAAATGTATTGCACAGTCAGTATATATATATATATATATATATATATATATATATATATATATATATATATAGGATTTCACATTTAAGAAATGGCAGATATTTTATATATAGTGTTAAGTATTAAAATAATCTTAAAAAGTGTGTTAATAATATTATGTCAAAAGATTACTTAACTTATAAATATCAATTTTATTCTGACTTCAAAGTTTCTTGGTAAAATTTCCAGTCTTCAGGGGTTGTGGTTTTAAAAACACAATAGTAACTACAAGAATGAGAACTTTGATGTAACAATGAGCAGTTATGACGGCTAAATTATGCAAAATCACAGGCATATATATCTTAAATAATTTATCAAATTTTATTAATAAAAAGATATAGAGATGATGGTCTAATAGTTATAAGAAATTATAATGGTAGAAAAAGAGAAAATATAAGAAAACTAATAATAGAAATATTTAATAAATTGGGATTTAAAATAGACATAAAATCTAACCTAAAAATAGTAAATTTTCTATACATAACATTTAATTTAAATAATACATACAAACCATATAGAAAGGCAAATAATAATCCAACATATATAAACAAAAATTAAAATCACCCTCCTAATATATTTAAACATGAACCAATATCTATTAATAAAAGAATTGAAACTAATTCTAGCAATATAACAATATTTAATGAAAATAAAAATATATATAAATCAGAATTAAGAAAAAGTGGTTATTTGACTAAATTAGAATAATAACTAAAAACAACACATACACACGCACAAAAAAGAAAATGAAACATAATCTGTTTTAACTCTCCTTATAATAATATAATAAAAACAAAAACAGGAAAATATTCTTTAAATTAATCGAAAAACACTTGCCTAAAAATTGGAAATTTTATCAAGAAACTTCAAAGATGGGATAAAATTGATATTTAAAAGTAATGTTTTCATATAATATTATATGTATATATATATATATATATATATATATATATATATATATGTAATGTTTTTGTTCTTTGAGGAATTTTATCAAGTGATGAAAGATGTTGGTAAAGAAAATTTTTCTTTTGTCTTTGATTTTAATTATTTTTACTGACATATTTCATGTACATCTAAATTTTGCCCACACACATGCACACACACAATATATATATATATATATATATATATATATATATATATATATATATATATATATATATATATATGTATGTATGTGCTTTATACAGATATATATATATATATACTGAAGAAATGTAACATCACAAGCATTGAAACCATTTGAGCAAAGATACAACTTAGGTGGGCTGGTCATTTTGGGAGAATGGATGAGCATAGGATTCCAAAAAAGGTGCTGTATGGACAACTACCAAACTCCAAGCATTCAGATTTCAGATGGACATTCACTCTTAAGACAAATTGGAAGAAACGTCTCAACTTTGATCCAAAAATGTTGGAAGCCCAAGTATCAAACCAAAAGGAGTGGCATAAGACATGTTTCATTAAGTTAAAGGGTTTTGAAGACAGTAGACTGAAGCACTGTGATCAGCTTCATCAAGCTCTGAAGTAGAGACAACATCAAAATCCTGCTTTAAAAAATTTTATCTGTCAGTGTGGCTTTGTCGGACGCAGCAAGGTTGGGCTAGTATCACACTTAAGATAGCATAAATGAAATATGTCTTTCCCTTACCTGATTTTCTCCACAATACCCCTGCTAGCATGCATAAGCGTAAAACAAAAGTCACCATCAAATGCTGATCCTCATTTGTCATTCCCAATAGAAAAGTCCACCATATATATATATATATATATATATATATATATATATATATATGGTGGACTCTCCTATTGTAAATGACTTTTATATTTATATTTAAATATGCTCTATCTCTGATATTGAGCACTTTATCCCATAATATAGCACACCTTAAAACTATATATCTTCATATATATATATATATATATATATATATATTTATATGGCTATATATATGTATATATTTATATATGTATATTGTTTTAACATCAAGAAGATCAATATTTACATGCAATGATGCTACTTGTGCGAAGAAGAATAATGAAAGTTTTGATGTACCTATGGGAGCATTCAACTCTGCCCAAATTGCAGATTTAGTGGGCATATATATTTTAGACACCTTGAATAGAGTAGTTAACCTTAACCAAGTTGGAATTTATAGAGATAACGGCTTAACCATTGTCCCTAATAGCAATGATCCCTTGACTTCCAGCTTACATAAGAGGATCATTAGGGCCTTCAAATACCTAGGCCTTAAGATTGAAAAATCTTCCAACCTTAAAATAGTCAATTTTTAGATATCACCATCAACTTCCCTAATGAGACTTTTAAGCCCTTCCATAAAGTTGATCAGACACCCATATACATCAATGTCCACTCTAACCACTCGAAATCTGTAATAGATCACATCCCCAAAACTGTTAATATGGGAATAAATAGGCTATCGTCTAGCCAAAAAATCTTTAATGGAAATAAATTTATAAACTACCAGACTCTCAAAAATAGTGGTTTTAGACAGGAATTAAACAATTGTAGGAGTAGAGCTAATTGTCTAATCAGGGGAAAATGTATGTATGAGAATGTAATATATGAAGCAACAATCTTCCCCAGAGAAAATATCAACCAGAAAAAAAGATACATAGGTATATCTGCTGGTAATTGGAAGCAGCATCTATACAACCATAGACACACTTTTAAATATCGATACCTTAAAAATCAAACTTCCTTATCCAAACACTACTGGGGTCTAGTGGATAAGGGACTAACCCCACATTTTGAATGGAGATTCTTATCAAGAGCAAGAACCCCTAATAACTTTCTGCGATCAGTGTGATATATGCATTGCGGAAAAAAATTTTATTATTAAAGATAAAAATCAAGATCAGTTGCTGAATCTTCGTAGTGAGATCATTTCCAAATGTAGACATAAAAAATGCTTTAAAACATAAACATGGTTTTATAACGTGTTGTTACCTATAACAGTTCCATCTTGAATCACTAACATTGGACATGATATTTAAATGGAATGACTCTTATGATTATCTATATATATCATTGTCTGTGTTTAGGCGGTGCTCTACATATCTTTTGATTTGTAAAAAGTTAAAATTAGGTTGTACCCAATAAGGATTAATGATAATTTTTATTACCTCATTACTAATCCATGGTGAGGCAGAATTAAAAACAAAAAATTAGAGAAGTTTTAGCATTCTCTAGTATTGAGCTGTCTGGTAATGTAGGAATATTGCTGTGTCAATTGACTTGTCTTGTAAATCAGTATATGCAATCTTAGCTTTTATCTGATATGATGTTATCATTATATAATCTCATATACATACAGTTGTACACAAAATTCTGTTCCTTTTTTTTCTTTAATTAATAATTCCAAATTTGATCTGATGAAATTTATCAAGTCAATTAATAAAACAGTTTAGTTTTTATCTGAATTTCTGTGATGAGAAGTTTTCATTATTTACATTTAGACTAAGAGAGAATTAATTTTATTTTTTATTTTATTTTCACAATGAGAAATAA